CACACCCACACACTCTCTCACACACACACACACTCTCACACAAACACACACACACACACACACACCAGTCGCCTCCGTAATCCAAACTCACACACTCATGTCTGGCCTCTTTGTCTTCAAAAGGACATTTATGTTCAGTCTCAGCGCGAGTTTAGTTTGGTCTTCAAACATGCGTGTTGTGTGGCGGATCAGTGCTTGAAAAGGGCTTTTGCATGTTCAGATGTTCATGTACCAAACTGTCATGAGATGATGATGCACACCTGCTGTTCCACTTTAAACATCACGAGGGCAGATCTCTGCAGCCTAAAAGCTGCTACACGCTCAGTTTCATGCACTTGTGTTTTTATGAGGTTTTGGTCATTTTATTTGAACAGCTTTGTAATCTCCAGTTCTTCTGTCCTGCAGATCTGGGACATGAGTGATGACGAGAGCATTTGAAGGCCTCTGGACCAAACCGCTGGAGACCCCAAATGAAGCTCCTTTAACTGGCTGTGATGTTCCTGTCAGCTCATCTGTTCTCTTATATTCATTTTCAGACACTGTTAACTGCATACAGTGACCTCACTGCACTTGTTGAAATACTTGTCTTAACCATTCACGTAAAATCTCATTATAGCTGTGTCAGGAAAGATGGCAGAATTAAAGCGATGCAAATAATCCTGCTGTGAACTGCTCTGGTCTAGATATCCAGTCTAGTGTTGTTGTCTTAAAAGGATAGTTCACCCAAAAATGAAAAAATGAGATGTCATAATTGACGCACCCTCATGTTGTTCCAAAACACAAACACACATTGTTCATATTAGAAACACAAAAGTAGTATTTTTTCCCCCCATACTATGGAAGTCGATGGCTACCAGCAACTGTTTGGTTATCAACATTAAGAAACTCATACAGGTTTGCACCAACTTGAGGGCGAGTAAATTACAGATTCTTCATTTTGGGGTGAACTAACTTTTTAAAAGGACTGTTGTTTAGGAATATCCCTGCCCCTATTTTTTTTGTCCACTGGACAATTTTTGGGAATGAAATCGTCAGCCACCATTGTCAAGGGCGGTTAAATATGGAATATATGTTGACGAAGATCCTTTATCTTCAGGCATTTTTTAAACTGGCCTAATGTTCATTAAGAGTGTTAGATTATGGCAGGTGTCTGAGCCTTGCGTTCAATGCCGATGCAAACACACCTGAACTGAAGAATTGTTACGGGTCAGTGTAAACCACAGCACTGAACTCTTGGTTTGTATTCCCAAGTGAATGTGTTCATCTCTGCTGGACTGTACTGTAGATCCAGTCACGCAGCCATCTCGCGCTGTAACAGTCTAGAAATGTGGCTTTTGTTTATTTGGTTCATTGTTTTGTGCATTTGTTCACATAATAAAATGATATTCACATAATCCATTCTTTGTAATATTTCCTTGCTTTTGGCCACTTAGGTAAGTGGGTTAATAATAGTAATGGTGCATCCGTGTCCTGAAATCACCACAGAAAGATTACGACTCGAGAGCTTTATTAGTGATGTTCATGGTCTCAGGTTGTTGTTGGTAATGAGAAAATGAAGCCAACTGAAACGCTATATATCCTGGCACATGCTCAGTGATGATAGTTGCGATTTGTAAACCCAATGAAATAAACTGCACTGAGTTTTTACTAAAACTCTTATGGAATTACAGTAATTCTGACATTAGAAAATGTTGTTTTACTTGATATTTTCCCCAAGAGTAATCACCTGTTTTCACAAAGGATGAATCCTAAGTCTCGGGCTGTGGTTTAAGAGCACTTTATTGTTCATTGAGGCTACTTAAAAATACAAAACAATGGCCTGCCAAAAGTTTGTTTTATTCCAAGGAGAAACAAGGCCATGAAATGAGGGTATAATACAGATTTACAAATGAAGAAGTAGACTCGAGGTGCAATGAGAAGAGTTTTAAACGGTTGGTTTCTTGTCGTCGTTCTCCTGGAAGCGCACATCAAATAGAAAATCGTGTTGCTCAGATCCCAAGCGATGGTACTGGAGTGGAGTAACTCACTCAGACTCGAGTCCGTTTGTTCAATTGTCTCCAGAGACAGTCGAAAGCCTCCGTTCAGAAGTGTGTCGAGACTCAGTAGCCTTCAGAAATAATACACAAGTGGCTATTACACTAACGCAGTGTTTTCATAGAATAACTGTGTTCCTGCACTTTAACCTTAGACAAAACCTACAAACAAAAAAGATCAACTTTTTTCCTCGGAGAAAAAAAAAAGCATGATTACAATAAAGGACAAGGGAAAAATTAAATAGCTACATATCATTAACAAATTAATTGTTCCTCAAAAAATACCTACGATTTGTTTTCTCTGTACATTCGTTACGCACAGCGTAATGATGGTCTTATAGTTTCCTATATAAAAACTTTTTTTTGTTGTTTTGAAGTAAGTGATTTACCTACAGCGTGTAGGGTAACGTGTGCCACAAGCAGAAAGTGAGAAAGTGTCCTACCTAGTAAACTGGTCATGAAATGTGTGTGACGGAGGATGAAATCCTCAAGGATACAGACAAGGTTTTGTGGCAAATACAAAAAAAAAAAAAGAGCAGAGTGTGAAATCCGAGTTGGTGAGTACTTTTGAAGAGCGCGTCGTGTTTGAATTCAGGGCCGATGGAATGTAAGGACGAGCTCAAGCGTCTCCTGTATCTGCAGCCTCCTGTCAGTCTCTAGTTAGTAGCTACACTGAACACGGGAGAAAGTACAAGACCTGCATGACGTTCCCTATCGGAGGAATGTGTTGTTTCGGTACAGGCGGACCGTTGGAAAACCAGGTCCGTTTCGAAAGCTGAATGCAGAATTAAGAGATGAAGAACAACGACCACACACACACACACACACACACACACACACACGTGAAATTAGCTCAACGTTTTCCGCAGATTGTCAACGCTGCAGTTGACCTGTCCATAGCTGCGAATGCTCTTTTTTCAGTCATGCAAAGCGGCAGCATCCTGTACCACGGATTAATAACATACAAAACCAAACGTTAATATATAGATGGCCTGTCCAGAGGCGGTTTTCTCTCTTGTATCTGGCAGCTACCACAATGAATATTGAATAGAAAATAATAATATGGAGTACAACTGTACCAGCAGTAAGTTTATCTAGGACTGTTACTGACAAAAATAAAATCTGAAGAAACGGCTAAAAGTATTACGATCGAAATGTCTACACAATAATAGATACCAGCTATTTTAAAAACATGCACTTATAAGCACTAGCTTACCCTTAAACCGTCTACTCTACTAAAACCACAGTGCCTGGGAAAAACCAACCTAAAACCAGAAGAATGCCCACGTCTGCCGCAGTCCAGTTGTGTCAGCGCCGTAGAGAAGCCAGAGCCGAAGCGACCGGAAAAAGATTCCCTCCCCTGACCAAGGTTTCCTGCAAAAGCGATGTGAACCGCACCACCTGTGTCACCCTCCAAAACAAACACCCAATCATGTGTATCCAACGCTAAACTGACACCACCTCCATCCATCCATAGTGCAAAATCAGTCCAGGCCTTCCGCTTCAAGTATACACGTACAGATTCAGGACACAACCGGGAGAGAGTGTGAAAGACAGAATGCGATCGGTGCCATGGAAGAATGGCTTCTGGGTGAAAGGTTTGCATCAGCAGTTTCTTTGGTATCGGAGGCAGATGGTTCGATAGTGTCTGGCTGATTTTTATCTCCAAAAAAACTAAAAAAAAACAAGGTATGGGCATCCCATAACACAACAGCCAAGCCAAAAGTATACTAGCATACTTACAAAAAACTAAAAATCAAAAGGAAAAAAAGCACAAATGAAAGTTGAAGGAGCACCTCCTCGTCGTGCGTTCTTATGTACATAGCTATACATCAGCTCTGCTAAAACATGCATGGTTGCTTTGAGAGTGAAGCGGCTGGAAGAAGACTGGGGTTCGCTGGTCCTCTTTTCAAGACACGAGGGAAGGGGAGTGACTATGGCTGACCATGTGGCCGTTGGGAGAGGAGTCTGGGCTTCCGGAGGAGCTGCCCTTGGCCTTGATCTGCAGCCACGTCTCACCCAGCGCCTTGGCGAAGTGGTCGTCCACCGAGCCGGTGATGGACACCGAGTTTGTGACCGGCTCTGGCTCCTTGTAGTTCTTTCCCAGGCTGCGGCGGAAATGCTCCTCGATAACAGGGTCGCAGGCTGTGTTAGCTGAGACAGAGAAACGCTGCTTAGCTCACGGTACGTCAAAGACAAGACCTCTAACAGACAGAGCTAACACATGGCACTTTCCACAGGTAGGGTACAAAAACTCAAATGTGGGACGTTTGTTTGCTTTTATTCATTTCTATTATTGCCTAGTGAGCAACTCCAGCATCACAGCCACTAAAATGTGAAATGTAACTATTTATCATCAGAAAACTGAACCACCTGTATGTGTGCATGTGTTCATACTAATACCCTGCAGGTAGAGTCCAGACATTGGTGTAAAAAAATAAAATAAAATAAATGATTACATCAGGAAAATATGATTTCATTGTTACGGATGTGACAACAGACATTTTGAGAGACAAACACTTTGCAGGAAGTCAATCTGTAACTCATTCTTGTGGTTGATTCAGGAAGGGAGAACATTTCAATATACTTCATATCAACTTATGTTAGATTTGTCCAAAACTTTGATCATTTTTAAGTGAACCTACAGAAGTGGAAGACATCTTTTTTGTATTGAAACCACTTAAATACGGCTGGCAGAATAATCTTCTAGTACTGATGCACACTTCATATATGTGGTGATTGGAGTATAAAAAATCCTAATTTTGTACATTTAAAGTAAATTGCATTGTTTGACTAACATTTCTCAGTTCTAAGTTTATAGAATATACAAAACATTAAAAAAAAAAATTTTTTTAAAAGCTTAAAAAAAAAACTACAAAATAATCTGGATCAATTTATTTCCAGTAAACAAAAAGATTTGTTGGCCCTTCATAAAACTTCTGAAATGTAAAACTGGTAATGAGGTGGTTGATCTTGACTACATTACAGTTATTATAAGAACAATTATAAAACTATAAAAGATTAGATACACCATACACTAGAAATGGTCTAAATTATGTCACAATTGCTCCATTTCTGGCATCTGTAATAGGATCACACACAAAAGGTGCAAAACATTTCATGTTTACTTAATTTATTGAAGATCTATTTGATTGAATACTAGTTCCCTGTGTAAAGGACGTGGCATCAGTGTCTTTATTAAGAGATATAATTGGACATAATTTTGTAGCCCATCCATGGACAGTGCCAGCTCTGATCCAGTGACGTTGTTTGTACTTACAGTTGGAGGCTCTGCGGTAGCTTGAAGTCAGGCTGGCTGAGCAGCCGTTGTGAGACACGGTGCAGTGGGTGAGGTTACAGTTACGGTTGTTCGCTGGGGCACATGTGATCACAGAGGGACGATTCTACACACACAACACACACACACACACATATATATATACGTGAGCAGTAGAGCAAGTGTCCAAACAAACAGAACTACTGAACAGTGCTTTCAGATACGTCTACACTGTAGAGACCTACAAAGACTTGCTGTTCATGAGATTAATTAATAAAGTCTTCTGTTCACGTCAGTGGATCGTTTAGCTTTTTTCTTCAAAACTGAAATGTAGCTAAACATGGTTTCAGGGCAGGTCTGATTCATACCAAAACAAAACTCTTATTATACATGTTTTCGTGAATAACAAAGATTAACCTTGATTCTAAACATCAATATCAAGACAAAACCAAACATACTTCAGCATTTATTTATGTTTAAAAAAAGGTACAACGCTTTCTGCTTCTTTTAAAGGGGTCAAGTTTACCTAAAAATGAAAATTATTTACTCAACCTCATGTTTGGTGAC